CTACTACTGCTGCTAGTACTGCTGCTGCTGCTGCTGCTGCTGCTACTACTACTACTACTACTAGTACCATTATTATTGTTATTATTGTTATATTATACTAAACCCCAAGCCCAAAACTGGTCCGACATCCCGCATGCCTGGATGCCCTCGGTGCGGGTCCAAACCTGGTTTCTGGCGACTAATTGAAGTGGGAGGGTTTAGAGTTCAAGGTTGTGGGGTGATATTGGTGACCATGCACAGGCTCACACTCCTAGGAGCGGTTTGCGATGGGAAAAGCCATGGCCAGAGGCCTTAATCCTTGCAAGCCCCTCCAACTGCAGAAACAAATTTACTTTGCAATCAGCGGGTTCTCCAGGCAGCCTCACAGCGGCCAGGACTGTACTCGATGCCTGCAGCGCAAGCAATGCAGCAGCATTGATGATGCAAGAAAGTAACATCATCCATCTTAAACCCTAAACCCCAAAAGCGATTCCAGTATACTCCCAAACACCTAGTCACTCTTCTACTACGCAACACAACCTGCACTCCGTAAGCCCTCTGCGCTCTGTGACTGTTTCACACCCTCCGCTGCCTTTGCAACGGGCATCCGCCAGGCATTCGTCCTTGCAGGCATCCAGAGAACCGGATCCAGCAGGCATCACCTGAAAAGGCTGAGGAGCAAAAGAGCTCGGTGTTTTAGGCAATTCCTGCCATGGAAGACCAAATCAGTACTGTGATGTGGTACTCTTCCTTTCTGAAACCGTTTCTACTCACGTCATACTACATGAAGTTGTGAGGGTGGGGTCTTGTGAGTATCTTCGCTGGATGCACAGTGGACTTTACACTGGCTCTACAAGTGCTACGATCGACTCCATGAACCCACCTCCACTGCGCTCGATCCATCCTCCAATGGGAGCTCTTGGACTACGAAGGGTGTCAAGGAAGGCCAGCACAGTAGACTCCACCGCAGGTTGCAGAGGCCACGATATAGTGCTAACGGCACTTTGGTGCCGAACATCGAAGGACCTTCAAATTCCTAGACATTGCCTGGTAGTAGCTCGGCCGATTGTCACCAGGGCTGCTTCCACCTGAAATCACGGGCAGCGTGTCGTTCTACAATATGGAAAGCACTCACACAGCCTTGAAGCTGGGTTTATGAACCACAAGTAAACGATACGTGTATTCCGACTGGAATTTGTTGGATGGAAATGCAGGTAGTGCAAAACCTCGACGAAAGCATCTCTCCATATTTTTGCTGGAGATCGATACACATATCTCGGGCCTCCACGATACGCTTAGAGTACTTTATGGTACTCCTTTATCAGTCTTGCAGTAGCCTTATAGCCTTATGACGTCGTTGCGCAACAGCTGCCACCGAGAGGCGGCAGGCCCGGCCCATACCCCCATCGACAGGCTGGAACGTGCTCTCCGACGTGGTCGCCTTGTTGAAGCCTTGCGGGCCGTAAAATCATCGAGTCGTGTTTTTACTCTTCTCCGGGATCAGACATCATGCATGTATGGTGGGCAAGCTGCTTCAAGGGAGTTACATCCTTCTGGCCGTGCAGCAAAGACCCACCCACTCTCTCTCATTCGTGCTTCGGGGGACAGTCAAGCCTGTCCCTTGTAAGCGACAGCAGGTTGCTGCATGGCAACTGCTAGTCTAGGCAAGGCTGTGCTTCAGACAGCTTCGAACAACAAAGACACTGTAATCCCTCAGCTCTGGTACTACCCGGCAACGTGCACCAAAATCGTGGGTCTGGGCCCTTGCTGGTGTTGCTAGTCACTCTAGCTATTGCTAACACGATTGTCGTTCCTACTTCTATGCCTGCAGATTTCATCTTCCCCAACTCCCCTATCGCGCTCTGCAAATTTACTCTTGCCTGTCTCATCCACATTGTTGTGCTGTGTTCAAAACCGCTCGTTTCCATCATCAGGTAAATCTTGATTCACATGTGCGTGTTTCTTTTCCTTCCTTCTCTCTCTCTCTCTGTCTCTCTCTCCCTCCTTCTGTTTGACCGGTTCGGTCTCCCGCTCTGAAAGAACAACTGCTGACGCGGAGGCTGCCATGCAGCTGCAACCAGGCATTGCCGGAGGAGCACGCCTTGAGTGCTAAACTTAGCCCCCAAAGCTCGCCATCAATTCCTAGAGCTCCAGTTACCTGAATAGTGGGTTACCGGGTTACATGATATATGTGTTATATGGTTAGTAGCCTACTACTGAGGTAACTGGCGCCCTAAGGAAATTCAAGCCAGAACCACTTTACCAGCGCAGCATTATAGCTTCCCCACAACACTTCCGGATCGCACTACAAACCTGAAGATGTGAAATTGGCAAACTATCTAGTGCATGTCCGTATAATATGTATGTATGTAGACATGGGCAGGTAGGAAAGAAGGCAGGAAGGTAGGTTGGTAGGTAGGTAGGTAGGTAGGTAGGCAGGCACAGGTATGCATCAAGACAAGCGCGCTCACACACAAACACATGCACACAAAACAACGAAGACGCCACGCACACAAACGCAAACACATGTAGGCGCCTCTGATTAAATAATGAACCCTTCTCGTCAAGCCCTCGGACCCATTCGCGTAAGGCTCCCTATTGTACTCCAAGCAAGCCGTAAACTTGGCCGTAATTGAACCCTACACCCCTCCCAAACCCCAAGCCCCAAAAGCCTAAACCCTAAACCCAGGTGCCCCGGAAGTCTTACAACTCTCTGCCCGAAGACGTCGCCGCGACAGCCGGACGAGGCAGCGTGGGCCTGCAAAAAGCAGACGATCCTTCGGGTTGGGTATTTAGGCTTCAAGGGTTTAGATTTGGGGCTTTTATAGACTTTAGGGGTGTAGGGTTCAGGGTTAAAGCTTTAGCGGGGGGTTTAGGGTTTAAAGAGGCGTTCATGGTTCAGTTCAGAGGAGGGGGGGGGGCTAAACGCTGAAGGGCTTAGGATTCCGCTTAGTTTTGGCTGTCGGGCTCAGAAATCGGGTGTCAAGGTCGAAGATGCTCGGGAGCGGGGTAAGCCTAAAGGCTGCGTTCAAACACTCGGGCCACTCCACCTTCCTGGGACCAGTTGTAAATGCACTTTGTATAGCTACTCTGTACTATCCCACTCATGAACCCCATAAGCAGAGACCTTTGGCACTCTGATGTCTGAAGCCTTCGGAGCTCTGGTCCCCGCCTGCTGCAGCAGCAAAGCAAATATGAGCACAGCAGCTGCCATTGGCGGTGAGCTTATGGCCACGAGTCGAGTTGGGTATCAGAGGGCTTCTATCAGCCGAAACCCGCAGTGCCAGGCAGTTGATTGAAGTTGCGATCGTTCCGAAGTTTGTGATGCTCGATCACAGCGATTCCAATTTCCCTATGTCGGGTCCCATATCTCGGGTTGTACAAAGACCGATAGCGTGTGAGAGCTACATGAACAATTGCGCACAGAAGGCAACATCCGTCTCTGTGTTAGCATGCGCAAGGGGAAACCAGGCAGGGCGCGATCGTGTGTATATGTATAGGGAGACTTGTACTTACATAGCTGCATAGCGTATGAGACAGACGGAGAGCGCGAGTGAGTGAGGGTCAGACCGGATAAAGAAGAAAAGAGAGGACATCTCATCTCAGGTTCAGCTGCGGGGCTGCTAACGACACTTCATGCTACAATACGACAAAAGCCCGGACCATCCCCTGAACCTGAAATTTGAAGCCCCAAAGCCCTAAACCCCTAAAGCCCTACCATCCTAAAGCCCTGAACTCCAAAAGCCCCAAGGTCCCAAAGTCCAGAAGCCCTAAAGTCCGAACCTTAAAACTCTGGACCCTAAACCCCCAAGCCCTCGACCCTTGAACTTGAGGGTTTAGGGCTGCGTTCTGCCAACTCCTCGAAGCTCCATCAACTTGCTGGTGAACTTCATCCTGGGTCCACATACTTTGTAGGTAGGTAGGTAGGTAGGTAGGTAGGTAGGTAGGTAGGTAGGTAGGTAGGTAGGTAGGTACGTAGGTGGGTAGGTACGTAGGTAAGTAAGTAAGTAAGTAAGTAAGTAAGTAAGTAAGTAAGTAAGTAAGTAATGTTAGTAATTTTTACGCTATATGGTTTAGGGTGTAGGACCAGGCACGGTGTCGGGTTTAGGGTTTAGAGGTAGGTAGGTCGGTAGGTGGGTAGGTAGGAAGGAACAAACCATACATTAAACACCACAACAAAGAGAACAAAGCATTGCAAAGCAGCGGAACACATGCAACAAATATCAAAGCATAGCATAGCAAAGCACAACATGCCACAGGTAAGATGATAATGCAAATAGCATAAAAACCAACAACATATGTGTGTCTGGCTTTACATGCACATGTGTGTATGTATGCGCATATGCATGCAAGAGAGCATGCATGCATGTATTCAAACTCATTTAGTTACCTGTGCCAGCAATTATATATCTATGCACGGTACGCTTGGGAGCTTTTAGTGCCTCTTCTAAATGATACCATAAAATCTACGGACTTCATTGAAACTAAAATCCAGTCTTCAGACTCCAAACTGAGGAGACGACCTCGGCAAGTTCCTTGTCTTTGGTAGGTTTAGGGTGCAGGTCTAGGGTGTAGAGTTTCGCGACCCTTGTTTACCGACACAGCTGCTTCGAGTCAAAACAAGAAGTTGCCCAACATTAAACTCTAGTTGTCAACCAAGATGATATCTTAATAACACTCTGGACCACAATCCTGAGTCCCAAACGAACCACTACGACGCCCAATCTCCAAGGACCAAAAGGGACCAAAAGGGTTGGAGCGCATCTAAACCCGAACCACCGAGGGCGGGCCAAAGGCCAATTTCGGACTAAGGCTGGTGCACGAGCTGCGCAGCCTGCACTTCTTGGAGCATCCATCAGTGTGTTCTGCTTTCGGCGGTGCAATTCTTGCGGACAGCACGACGGCGGCTGAGGGAATTACAAACTCTTTCATCGGAAACTTCTGGTGGTTTCAGCACAGACAGAGCACAGATATTTCGTGGTGAGACCCGAAATTAGTGACGTAGCTGTCGGAGCCCCGAGCCACCATCGACTTAAAGCGCGATCATGAATTGACGGCTTTACTACACCTAAACGCCTTATAACATATATAAAAAGATAGATATAGACACCTCACAATATCATATGTATATATATATATGTATGTAACCTTTAAGCCTAGAAAAAATATTGTCCGGGCTCAGGGGCCGGCTGATGCTGCTGTTGCTGCTGCTGCTGCTAGCCTAGTGGTGGTGCTGGTGAAGATGTGACCACCCTCGGTTCAATGACATGATCATGGCGTTTTTGGAAAAATATATGATAGTCCTAAACCCTAAAACGTACCCCACATATCCTGGGCCTTCTTGCGGATCGGGTTGGAGTCCAGAGGCGTGGCTTGCGGGACTTCAGCAGAGAGGTAAAGGTCCTGCACCACAAAAGCTTGCCGTGGGATACTATGGCGGGATACTATAGGGGCCTTATGAATAAGAATAGGATTTGGGGGTATATTATTTATAGTGCAAGTATACAAGGACTACAAAGGAATCACATTATTAAAACTTCAAAGCTGGTACATTAATTACTTCAAACATGCAGGGAGGAACATCAGTCAAACTCACACTCTGCTTCAAAGAAAACATAGCAACATGCCATCTCTTGCGGAAATAGGGGAAAGTCCCTTGAATCGACCTATAGTCTCCATTGTAGTTCCTTTTTGTGGTTTAACTCATTATATACTTATGATCCTATAAGGTAACCCCAAACAGGAACTACAAATGGAGACTATCGGTAGACGCTGCAAGTCCTGCAATCAACGCCGCGAAACCTCGCTTGGACGCCCGACGCGCCGAGTTCTCGAACTACAAACATCGCCAGAAGCCCGAAACCAAGAAGATCTCCAGGGCGACCACTGCATCCTGGTCCAAAACCCTCCCCTCCCCTCCCCTCCCCTCCCCTCCTCTTCCCGAGAATCCCAATCCACTAATCCCGGAACAGCTCCAACCCCTGTCGTCCTCAGGCCTAATGTGTCAACATGTTATATCTGAAGCCCCAAATACTAAATCCCACTCAGTCTTATAAAATTCCAAAGCCCTGAAGCTCTAAAAAAAATCCCAGCCCAAGGCCCCCCTTGCCCAATGCTGCCTGGCCCGGATCGGTCTTAAACCGCCCCTGGGCCGCCATCTGGCAGAACCGCTGCTTCCCTGCGAAGAGCTCCTCTGACTCGGACTTGAGACTCAGGGTTTCTTTTTGTTTAAATAGGGTTTAGGAACTTTGGTGTTTTTAAGGTTTTAGGAATTATAGTTTTGAGGCTCAGGATTGAGAGAGTTAACCCTTGGTGTCCGATCGGCTTGTTGCAATCTTCGCTACCAACTCATGTTTGCAGCTTGCGAAGACTCTTGAGCTGTTCTGTCAAGTGATGAATTGGTAGGCCGAGAGATGCAGTCTTCTCTCTTGACACTTTTGTCACATGACTGTCTCCGATGCAAAACCTCCTGTTTCCCCAGCAAAGACGGTGAACTTGCCCGTCTCCTAACATACAGCGGCCCGTTACGACTCAGATCGCGGACTATGACTAGACTAGGATCGACATGTAGTGGTCGTATGCAGCAGGGTGGCCAAACAAATATCTTCATGACAGGTATGACTATCATTCTCGGTGTCGTCATCGTCATCACCATCATCTGACATGATCGACCGCAATGTTAATACCACTATCCCAATCATGTCACTAGCATCGGCCGTACTTTAGCCTGTGTGAGCCATGCTCACCAGGAATCCCAATCCACAGCACCCTAAACCCTAAACCCTGAACCCTAAATCCCACACCCTACACCCTAAACCCTAACCCTAAAAAGACTTCACTTGACTGCTTATCAACAGCATCCTCCGAGAGCTTCCGCGGCTCCTTGTAGGTCCAGGTGTCTGGCTCGGGAACTGGCCGGTGGATGAAAAGGATCCTTCCATCAGACACATTCCACCTAAATTTGGTGCCGTAAACCCTAAACCGACCCTTCAGGTTTGTAGGGCTGTTCACCGAATCTATGCTGAGGATAAAGTCCGGCAGGACTGGTTCGAAGTTGCCGGCAAGGCCTGACAAACTACGGCCTACTAAGGAGCGGCACAGTTCGATCTGGTACATACTTTGCGATATCACCAGTCTTGAGCCGGTTATCTCTCACATGGTGTAAATCAGTTAAGGGTCGTTGCGAATGCCTACTTCATTCTAGCAGGCGAGGGGGAATTGCAATGTGTGGCATGCATTGTGCTGCGCATTCCCTACTAGAAGCAGTACTCATGCTGCTAACTGCAACTGCTGCTGTTGCCGCTGCCGCAGTCACAGCTACCGCCACACGACTGGATTACTAATACTGTGCCGGTGACCGGGTTCTTTCGAGCGGGTGTTGCGGACAAGTCGCGTCGGATGCGCACTGTCTCGGACCCCTCTTTTTTCTGTAACATTATTGGTTGTTTCTCTCTCCTACACTGCGCACACGAACAGCATGCTTGCTTCTAAACCCTAAACCCTGAACCCTAAACCGTGAACATGTTATGTGTGTATTTATGAAATGAGTGAATTCATGGACATGCAAATGTACGAACTCATGAACGAACGAGTGAACGAATGTATGTATGTGGGCATGCATGCATGTGTGTGTGTGTGTCTGTGCATGTACTTCCAGACATACATTCATGCACATCGATGCACGTCATGAACGTTCAACCAACAGTAGTGACACATGTGAGCGCATTTAGAAGGCTTGTTGATGAAAGCACCTTTGCTGTCGTTGTTCGTGAGCCTGTATACACCTTTGCCGATTGTCTTGGTGCTCTTCGGGTCTGGGCTATGATATTCCTGTGGCCTGAAACACATACCTTTCAAGGAAATACATACATATATATATATATAGAGAGAGAGAGAGAGAGCACCATAATAAGGAACCCCAAGAAGAAGGCAGGTTTTTTCGGCTACAGGTCTGACTTGGAGTTTCAGTATGTTGAGTACTTGTTGTGCGCACCGTTGACCTGTAGCCCCAAAGCCCTACAGAACAGTAGGTCATGACCCCTTCATTGTAGGGGACTAATCCGTAGAACAGTCGGTTATTGGATTTTGCAGATGTCTCCGGCGCTCCTCCCGACGAAGTCCTCGGTTTCTATCGGAATCGGAGTCGGTGGATTGATCTGGCAGCTCTCACAGATTCGGAAGCGCTTGTAGGTGTTGAGGACTGAAGCCTAGCCG